ATCTATCCTAGGTAGCGGGTATCAGTGCCCGCACCCTAGCAAAAAGCTTTCTTACGCATTTTAATTCGAACGTCTTGTCTGTGTACATAAGTACATAGGTACACAAATACGGATAACATGGATACATTGTTTGCAGAGAAGATTAATATGGAGGCGGCAGCGGTGGCGATTTTCAAGATGATGGTGTTGCACCCATCAATGTGAACATGCATGTTGTATGTGCGTACATATTCATATATATTTATATACGTGTTTTTGTGTTTGTGTTTATGCCTATATGTATGTATGTATGTACGTATGTATGTGCATATCTGTGCGCGTTCATAGTCTCCAAAACTCTTAACATTTATACGTACACATGATCTAATTGCACCTACATATATTCTTAATATGTACGCTCGCTCTCGGAAATGTCTGTGCCCGCGTGCATAAGGCAAATAATAAAAAAAAAAGTAGTACGTAGTATGTGTACGTGCGTTGCGCGTTTATTAATTTAATGATAGTAAAACATCTATCACATGCACTCCTGCTTTTAAAGTTTAAATATGTATGTACAGGTGAATTCCGTATAACGTGGTAATTTAGTTCCAGGCAAGAATTTAAGCCATCTGAAGGTGCTTTGTAAATAGTAAAATTCATTTTCTAAAACATTTTCGTATTCAATATGCATAGCTATCAGGTGTGGTTGCCATGGCTTTAATTGTGTCTTTATACCTTACGTCGATTGCGTTGTTATAAGCGTGTTTTTTTCTTTTTTTTTTTTTTTGGCAATCGTCTCATATGTATTTCTATATGAACGGTTTGTTTTTTTTTTCTTTTTTTTTTTTTTTTTTTGTTGCTTTTATCTATGAAAAATGCTTCAAGTTAATAACAGTGTAACAGAATTTATTTTTCATTAAAAACATTTCATATAAAACATACGAACACGCTTGAGAAATCAAATAATATATATATATATATATATATGTGTGTATTGATCTACATAAATAGAGGGACATATTTAATTATGCCTGTCAGGTTGTTATGTCTACTTGTCGCAATCTCTATTACTTAGTTGAAGTCTTCTTTGCTTATAAAAACAATTTTGAAAAAAATTTATTTTCGTTTTCAGACACGTCACGATGCTCGCAATTAACTTCAAATCGACCATGAAATTTAACATTAAATTCCTTCTTATTCATCATAATCCATAACCTTGAAAATACTCTCAAATACCTCTATGAGCTCAAATTGATATGCATTTCCCTTATCTATGCGACGAAAGCGAATAGAAGAATGAAATTTCCTTTCTATTTCGTTCCTAAGTGAGTCAATCCCATTAAAGTGCACCTTCCAATGTCGCCAAGGAGTTTGCCTAACAAATAAAGCAAAAAGTAAAAAAAAACAAAAAAAAAACAAAAAAAAAAACATGTAATAACGAAAATATTTCTACTGAGCTTTAATTTTATATTTTGGTTAAAATCAAAATGCCATCGCAATAAATATAGGAAACAATTAACCAAAAAAAAAAAAAAAAAAAAAAAAAAAAAAGAAAGACAAGTTGAAAAGTTCTCCATCTACATTGAAATATTGCAAACATGATCTCAGAGTTAATAAGGCTCTCGGCCTTATAAGGTCCCATACGTACATATCAAAAATCGGAAAAGAGAAGAGAAATTCTGACTTTTCTTAGAAATTCTCAATGGTATATAGCAAAACTTGCATAACAATTCTTTTCAGTGGTATGTTTGTGATGGTCCCAGTATTTCGATTGATTTGACTCGAGCACTATGTGTGTATGTGTGTATGTTTTTGCATTACTTTATCTTTGATTTCTAACTAAACTCAAATTTTTATCATCAAATCAAAATGCAAAGAAAAGAAAAAGTGTTTAACCGATAATTTCAGATTATTTCTCGATTTCTCGATTCTTGCATCTCCGACAATGCTAACTAACAACAATGGACCCCGACAAAGCAAATAAAACAATAGCAATAAAAAATTTAAAACACCCTCTTACCTAAGGCGGTAAGTATGAATTATTTTCTTTACGTTTTTAATCGAGACCTTTACTTTACTCAACATTGAAGATTGAGCACATACTACACGTTGCTCCTGTTGCTTGTAACGTTCCGAAACATGCGTCACAAATTGCGTATAGTATACAGCGAAGAAGAAGATTGTAAGTGAAAGTGAAGACCTCCTCCTATCCAACACTGTGTTTTTGTCCGTCTGTCTGTCTGTCTGTCTGTCTCTCATTCGCTAGTGGGTGCACACTTTTGCAAATGTGAAACATGACATAAATACTTTTATTTAATAGCCATAAATCACATTGTAAATGCATGTTATCCGCTCAATGTCCCGCCCATAAGATACAAAATATTAATGAAAAATTTATAGGAAATATTTAAAACTTTCATCTACAAGCCTACAAAATTGAAAAATTTTAACGTAAGGTTTTTCAGAAAATGTTCATATAAAAAACTTGATACTTGCTTGGTGCTTGGCTAAAAGGTCCAAGTGAACAACAAAAAAAAAAAAAAAAAAAATTTTCGAATATATATGCAATAATGCCTTGAGACGATTGATACGGGAGGACAGAAATTTCTTACTTATTTTATTCGATTTTTTTTGCTAAGCCCACTATGTAATATATTTTTAGGTTTATATATATATATATATATATGAATAGAGAATATATATATATATATATATGAATAGAGATGTTTTTGTAAAATGTTTTTCGTGCTTTGTCGTGAAACTTCATCACATAAGAGTTGTTTAATAGCAGTAATCAACTGAAACTAATCTTCTCGTTTATTTATTTCGACTAAGTTCATTGTCTTATAGAAAAACAGCAGTTAGGTGCGTTGACATATCTGCCGTCATACATTTTTAATTTCTATTGATTTTTTATACTCCCATTAACATCCACTCTTTAGTTAGTACCATTTATGTACTAAACATTTTTCATATGATTTTACAAAAAAACGCGAATCAAAATTAACTCAATATGGCCCCTGTAACTAAATTTATCAGTCTTGTCGCGCCTTAATATTAAGCTGAAATTTCTGAATGTTCTGCACATAAGAAATGTGTATTTTATATATATTTAAAAACGCCCACTTTTCTGTTAAGGCAAAAGGCATTAGTTGACTTTTTCATAGAGTCGATATATCTCGAGGCATTTATTCCCGTCTCTTGCCACGTTTCTTGCCATAGTTTACTATTTAATTAAAGGGCAATAACTTTTTTTTTTTTTTTTTTTTCATTATTATATACGAGAAAGACGCGAGGGAAAGAGAAATAGACAGGAGAAGCGGCCGCAATACCGATCAATGCATGATTTTTATTGAATGATTTTATCGTTTTCTCAACTTTGAGAATTGAACGATTTGCGTGACTAACGGGGACTAACGGCGATTAAGGAATTTAATATTTTTACCTATGTACTGTCAATAAGATGACATAATATGTTAGACAATTCTTGCGAACGATGTTCGGTGGACAGGGCCATTAGTAAAAAAAATGTTCTCGTACCTTTTTGATTTAATGTCAAATATTTGTTGTTGTTGCTTTTTTTTTTTTTTTTTTCTATTATTCGTAGTGTAACGAAATAGTTTTGAAAGGAGTAACGATGAAAATATGTAACTAAACGATGTCTGAGAGAAACGCAAGGAGATACGAATAAGCATTTGTTGTGTTTTACATCCACTATCGCAGGATAAGGTCGTCTGTATTATTCATAGAGGAACACTTCGAAGATCCTCTTAGGCATTTATATTTATGATTTTGATGAGGTATTAAATTCTATATTGATCTAAGCATGTCTGTCTGCCGGTCTGTGTAGTAGCTGAGTTTAACATTCTTCACTGAAATATGGCAAAAATGTTGAAAGTTCTTGCAGACTGATTGATATTGAAAATAGGACAAATCGGCCGAAGAGTTGCACGGTACAGTACAATGTATTTTTGCTTATTGCTTATAAACAACAAAAATTTGTATATTCTATAGGCGATCTTCCACAATATTTGTAGACACGTGAAGAAACCGATAGCAGTCGCACAATATTGTGTATCGTGTATAGAGATTTCTTTTCCTTTGAGTTTTTGTTTTTTTAAGATAAAGTTATTGGCTATCGAAGATGATTTTCTTTTTGATTATATTTATTTCGTATATCTTTTCTTTTACTCCGATACTCCGTTTCTTTCTTTCACTACGACAAATGAATCGAAATAAATTAGTAAAGATGAAGGCCAAATAGTATGGCTATAGTAAGGACACCTTTTATTTATAAGGATCTTGATTCATTTGTTTTTTTTTTTTTTGCGTATACATAAAATCGCTTCATTTTATCGTATCTGAACTAAAAACGATGCGTTCTATGTAGTGCCTGAGGAACCGTATTGTATTGAATTGAACTTGATTTCCAAAAGCAGGGTATTATGTGTTTTGATGCATGTTTGTATTATGTGAAATCGCGCCAATCGCTGTTTACCTGTGCTTATCATATATTTGTATATTCAAGTCTTTAAAAAATTTTTTAATATATTGTCGATATTTAGACACCAATGTATTTACATTTTTTAATAAAATATGCGTACCTTATATATATATAAAAAGAATATATATAAAAAGATATATATATATATATATATATATATATATATATATATATATAATAAATTTGTTTGTACGTAAGCGTGACTCTTCTGTACATTGGCTGGTCATGTCATCGGATGTTCTCTTACGCTCTCGGAATCGAGAAGAGCACAACAACTGATTTTCATGTTCACAACAGTCGATATAAATTCAAACTCAAATCAGATGATATCGTGAGTGCTCCGTGGAATATCTTCACATGTGTATGAACTCTGTTCGTGGTCGGTTTCATTGTTGTTCATCGAGAATTCGAAAAAAAAAACACAAAAATAAATAAATAAATAAAAAAAATCATAAAATAAACGCAGTTCCGCTGTTGTACCGTACCGCTTTACAACATTTTCAGTTTTTTTTTTTTTTTTTTTTTTTTTTTCTTTATATTTTCTTCTTTTCGCAGTGTGCTTTCATTTTTGAGACGTTTCCATTTACTAAATATAACTCCGATTAAAGTTCAGAAACGCATACAATCATATTTATGTATTATATATAATGCTTATTATCTCCTTTATAATTTAATCGAAATCGAGCGATATAGTGATTCGGAATACAAATATTTAAATATATTTGTAAAATAAAAAAAAAATAAAAAAAAAACAGATGGCACAGCTTAAATCTGCCACATAACGCGTACAGTGAAGAGAAACCTGCAGGATACTCGTTAACTCGTTCTTTTCACTTTATTTAGTGCACATTAATATTCACATTTCATATGAAGCCAGCGAATAGATTATAGAAAATAAATAAGTAAAAACATAACAGTGGGCCACCACTCATCATTAAATACTCTACACAACTTCGCTTAGTATAGTTATTTATATAAAGAATTTTTGAAAATGAAACGTTATATGGAAAATGATCGAAAAAGCCCCCTTTTTTAATAGCGTTCCATCCTTGGGCCCAAACATTCCGACATCAAAATATCTTAAAAATTTGCATATTATATTCCGAACACAACAACAACAACAACAACAAATGGACAGACGGACGGACTAGTTTGTATTGAATCGATTAGTATACTCAAAAGTGGAACATAAATCCTTGTTCGTGTTTTTATATATCTGAAAACACATAATAAGTTCTTGTAATACAACTGGTGCAGAATATAAGAAGAGAGAAAATAACGAAAGATGTTTACATAGCAATTTGTCCGTCTGCAAAACTTTTCACCTGAGCAGTAACGCTTTTGAAAATCGCATATTAGGAATGGCATTATAACGGATAAATATCATCCTAAATTCTGCCTTTGTTTTAACTCTACTCATTTACTATTATTATTTTGTTGTTGTGTTTAATGTATCCTACTATATCATTATAAGACGCAATATATATATATATAACTTATTATATAGAGTATATACATGTATGTGCTCAGCCTCTAAGTCAACAAAATTTGAAATCATTCTTCTGCTTCTATATCGTTCTCCTACAACTCCATACGAAAATTGGTAAGTTCTTCAATCTATCATATAATCCTTTCGTAGGCGATCAAATGACTTTCTTAAAAGACTATCTATCGAAAAGATATATCTCTAGCAATGTATATAAAAAATTATTTAAAATCTTATGAAAGATGTATAACATTGCGTATGAGTTATAAGTAATTATAAAATAAATAACTAAATTATTTTATATTCTCCATAAGATCATTGATTTCTCACACATATATATATATATATATATATATATGTATATGTATATGTATATCAAAAGTGAAATAACAGAATTTGAAGAAATCCGCCTTTTGCACGCTATCGAAATTCTTGTTTTGTTATTTCGTTTATAGCGCCCGTTCTTGCGTCAATTGTCAATTCCGTCCAAGCATGTATATACGTGCGCGTATATACATGTATGTATGTATATGTTTGTGTACATACATTATTTTGAAGATTTTCACGCCCCAACTCGGTTCAGCGATGATCGCGATCGTAAAACAATTCGCCTGCCATTGGAGTCGTCACCCAGCTGATGATGAAAATAGAAAGAAGACACTCAAGCTTGCTGCATATATTGTAATATGATTCTTCCAAGTCTAATTAATTCTTCAAAGCAAAACAAAAAGATGGAAACAATTTCGATTGGTTCACTAACATGCCCGCCATTTACTAATTGAATGAGTGATTTTCACGCGTATGTAATTCACATAGATGATGGGTCGTTCGAAGTCGTATTATGTTGTGTGTGAGAAATGGAAAAATAGTTAAAGTCTAGTTTTATCAAGTGTCTACCTATACCATATAAAACAATTTCATCCGATTTTTATTTTTATTATTTTTTTTTTGCGATCATATTCGTAAAAAGTGATCTTAACTGATATAATTCATAATATCATTCTGATCTAATCATACCTATATCAAGCATTTTTTAACTTAACACCCATTATGACTGAACCTCGACCCGCCATTTATTAATCGAATGTCTGCCAATGACTTTATCGTGTGTGTACATCTATTGTGAACATATTATCATTATTATTATCGACAAAACGTGACAAGCTCTCGAATATCTATTGTACATGCCCATGGCCTCCCATTTTAGAAGGCCTAGTGGCCAAGCATTTAGTATCCGATTCTGCAGATGTCGTCACATTCACATAGAATAAGATACGACGTTTCACTTGTCCCTTGGCAGAATCTACATGAATTGGTATCGAATATACCCATGTTTTTCAGTTGATACCTAAGGAAATTATGACCCATATTAATGTCGGTGACTTAACTTAGTTCGTTTTATTCTCAGTTCCAGCAGTTTATGCCTGAAGATTTTATGAATCTTTTCGCCAAGATTTACATAAATAATTACATTAATTTTAAATTTAAATTCTCAATTGTTTTTTTTTTTTTTTTAAACTTATTTAATTCATAAATATTTGGCCTACGAGAGTGGAGAAGTGAAAGCTATGAACAAGATCTAAATCGTTTTCTCCACTTATCCGATCCTGAATTGGATAACAATTGCAGGTTGATTTAATAGAACGCGTTAGGCTTTGAATCGAAAAAACCTAGAATGATATGTTCCCCATAAATACTTGAGTTTCTTATTTTCTTATTTGAGACGAAATCTATTTATCTATATATATATATATATATATATATGTCGTCTTATATTCGAAGAGAAATTGCCATTCTTTCAATCTGTTATTCATTCGTATTCCAATCTATAGAATTTGAACGAATCGATGAATTTCAAATTTAATCGAAATGTAAATAATCGTCTTCTATGGATTTACGTTTAGTCGGATTCAGTCAATTATTTAATAAAGAGAGTAAAAAAAAAAAAAAGCATTTTTTTGTATACTTAAACTATTTTTATATACATATTACTCAGGGAAACTTTAGCGACAAAGAAAAAATGTAAAACAAAAACAAAAAGAAGGATAAGTGTTTTGGAGAAAGTGAAATCATACATAAAAAAAAAAAACAAAAAAAAGCTTAATTCAATTTCGTATGACCTAAATACGTATCCACTACACGCTTATGTATACGAAATACTGAATGAGAACTTTAATCAATTTATACTGTTATGATGTCTCAGAAAAAATATATTTCTTAACTATACATGCGTTAGAGTTTGTTTTTTTGTTTTTTTGTTTTTTTTTTTTTTGCTTGTTTTTTGTTGGTGGGAAACGTGTAGGTGGAATGCTTAAAAGTCTAATGAGCGTTTAACGATGCTTTTAATTCACTCATATCTTCTATGCGTCAGCTACCTTATACTCGTGCTATCATCATTCAGCGAAAGGCCGCTTAATTGTGGTTTCCAGGGAACAGAATTCTTCACAATATGCATGTGTAACTTTTTAAGTAAATACCAATTAAATAACACTATTTTGTTGGTAATGGCTAGCGATGAGTTGTCTGCAGCGATTCCTCTCCTGAATCGTAACGTAATCTTTAACCGTTTATCATCTTTCTTTTGGCATTAGAATGTGTCTTCGAACTTCGAATGCATTTCGTTCCTCTATTGCTTGAACGGAAAACATGCTACGCATCAGTAGGCATTGCTGGCCGTGTTTCTGCATAAGCCAATCTTTCATATTTGGTATATGGTATTGGTGCTGTCACTGTTCCTACAAGTTCTCTTTAGCCAATAACTTGATCGTGGTCCTTAGTGTCCGATCAGGACGCCATCTTTGGATGTTATGTGGAAGCTGCTGCATATCATTATTGCATCTAAACTGCATGTTGACGGAAATCTTCTATTACAGTATTAAACATTAATCGCTCGACATCATATAGCTTTGCAGATTTTACCACTTCGAGACGTTAGCGGCGTTCTCTTGGGCCTGCTGTATTTGCTATTAGTCTTATTGGATCTATGCTTACGCCCGTCGCCTTCGAGCTGACATTATCTTTGATCGATCAAGACGGTCTTTTCCTTCTTTAATGAGAGCTGAGTTCGTTTTTTTAGTCCGCAAGCGCCAACTGTACTAATGTTAGTCATAAGCGAATTCTATTGATCGTATTTCGCCCTATGCTAACAATATCGTTTTCATATTATGACACCGATAATGTCGGCGAAGCTCATAATTGTAGACTGTTAAGGCACCTATAGATGCTACATATCGTGCTGCATGTGTGGGTAAGAATGTATGCGAATATGGTATATACTTACAGAGGGGAACAGCAATGCAAGTATGATGTATTTGTCCTTTAGTTCTTAAGGCAACCGAGTGTAGTAACAAAGTCACAGAAGCAGAAGGAAGGGAAGCTTAGAAAATTTTAAATTTCGAATCAAGTTGACACAGTTCAAAATCGCATTTAAACATTCTGAGCGAAAGAATAAAACGCACTCTATGATATATTACATATGTAAATTATGCTTGAATACGATTATACGAAGTGTTTTCAAGCATTCAATGTATATATCAATGATTGTACGACCAACGAAGAACGTTACTTTTATCGTAAGACAAGTCTTGGATATCCATCACTTCGAAAGGATATGTTAAGTATTTTTTTCTCTTTGATCCATCAAAAACATTTTATTAATGGACTTAAAAATAATTCTTTCATTCTGCATTTTTATAGCCTAAGAATGAAATAGCAACAAACGTAGTATATAAATTCTTAAAGATGTCCGTCTGTCCGTCCGTCTATGCAATGTCTGTTGTAAACAATATTTTCCTGCCTACAAAAATGATGAAGTTTTAAATTTGGCAGAAACATTGGAAGTCACATACACGCTAGGTTGGCAGGTATCGGAAATGGTCCATATCGATCGAAGCACATACCTACAGTGCAGCATAAGCTAAGAATAGCTCTACTTTCTGAAAGCTTTGCTCATTTGCATCATTAACCACAACAGATACATGATACAAATTTCCAAATGTATTCACCTAAAAGTGTAAATAATCAGCCGGACATTTCTTATATACCCATCTCTACTAATACATGTCAATTTGGCGCATGAACAAATACGTGTAACAACACTTAGAAAACAATATAATTATACACTATAAGTAAAAAATAAAAATATAAAATATATATTTATGGAAAGTTTTTATTATTCAATAATTTCATTATATATTATTTCAATATTCGACATTCATCGCATCTCGCATCTCGCATCTTTTACACAAATACTCAATTGTGTTTGCACAATTTCGGCAGACAACCTTTTCACATATTTTACATATGTTATTGGTGCTGCTGTTATTGCTGCTGCAGCCAATTTGGCAAGTCTTGCGTTCTTCCGGAGTACTAGATGACGGCTGATTATAATCTATCTGAAATAGGAAATCATTTCTGGATAGTTTCGACCCAGTACACTCTGCGTAGTGAGATTCTTGCGTTTATCTATGCGCTAAATATGAAATATTGATGAACACAAGATACTACTTTGGTGGTATATTTGCCAGCCATTTGGTCCACTATGTCGATTACAAACTTTGTTTCATTATAATAAGCTATTGTTTCTGGGATATGCTTTTCATTGTCTTTTATTATTATGAAAGTATGCTTAGTACTTAGTAACGACACCTTTAGATTTGACTGCATTTTCCTGATTTATAATGTTCTGTATGCTCAATACCACTTCATTTTATCTTTCTTGATTCTTGTGGGCTTTGGAAATTCTCTCTTGTTGGCTCGGCTAGTTCCAACTAAACTGTGTCTTTTTGCAATTAATTTTTCAGCTATAGCAAGGATGGGAGCAAAAAATTATTCAGGGTTGTATTTCTGCCTTAATGAAGATATGGTTCGATTAACCTTAAAACAGCAAATTCACTCAAGGGGTTGAAGTTCACGTTCGCTTCATTCTTACCTAAGTAAGGGAGATCATTTATTACGCACTTAGATTGCACATCGACTGCCAAACGAAATTTTATGTCAAATTTGTGCGGCTTTTTTGACGGGATTAGTAGGCAACAGGTTTATAACAGCATTGGCTATTACGTATAAATTGATTCCATATTTCATCATTCAATATATCATTGCAGATTTGTCGGTGC